AATATCTTAAAATGAATTAAGTAGCACTCACGATACAATTTAGCTCATTTTTGCAACTTGGATGAATTGTCAGAGAGACATAGATAAACATATCCTATCAGGAATTATCTGCCATAGTATCTATGACAATTTCCATTGTCGGACCATGAACTTGATACATTCCAAAGATGTAAATTCCCATGGATACTATAACAGAGGACTCTGGACAAGGTGTTTTCGTCTATTGTCTCTCTAATAATACGATTAAATTTCGAAAACGAGGTAAAAACTCTTCTATATAAACAGGTAGCGATCTCAATTTGATCTTCATATCTTCGAGTGAAGTTCACATAATATTGTCTCCCATAAGGTGACTACATCTCCGACTTTGCAAAGGTCAGCACCGCCAACAGGATTTTAAATCGGGTTGTGAATACCGTAGCAAAACGTTAGCTTTCCAATAAATTACTTGAGGTACCGGTGGGTCATAGGGCTGATGTAAATTTTGAGGCTAGCAAGGAATCTTTTAAGTCATTAAAGTTCCTACTAAATTGTTATTAATGGCTTTGAAGCATAAACACATAGAAAATAAGTAATGTCGTCGGTTTCAATTGCAAATATATGATTGCCTCTTTTACGATCCTACTATAAATGTGATTTTGGAAAGGCCAAACTAACCTTGAAAGTCACATCTGTCCTGTAACATAGGTACCGGTAACCATGTAGGGTAGGTGTAGCGTGCCAACGTGATGCCGACACATTAGTTTAGACTCCCTTTGGGGGTACTGTGAGAGAGACGAAGGAAGACTGAAGTCCAACCTGGATAAATAAAAAGTATATAAAACTAGGCTAAGTAAAATTCAATTTCATCGTAAAACCTAACCATTTCACTGCAATAAATTTGGTTATCAGTCCTTAAATCATCTTAAGCTTCCTAGAGTGACTGAATTCCTTAATCGGTTTAGTTCTTTAATGATTATTTTTCAACTTGACTGTTGCCCCACTAAATATCAATTTTGTGGGATCCACTGTGACAGCGCTCTAGATCAAAGAAGCTTTGCGAAAAATACTTCCTGACTAGCATTCCCCATGAATGATGTATAAAGCTCTCAATTACAGTAAAGACTGCATGATGGCACTTTTTGGGTTAAATATTTAAAATAAAATTCCCAGCCTAATTCGAGTGTTGTCAATTCACCACGTGCAATCTACTCATACGTGCAATGTAGAACAACAAAATTTGTGGGTTAGCACACAAGAGAATAGGGCATAGGAAGTCAAAGGCTTGGTATTATGGATAGAAGCACAATAGAAGTGGGTTGACCTCGTTGTCGCAACTTGGTCTTGTGTTCAGGGGGACTATGTAAAACGCACCTAGTCCGAAGTCGTCTGCCATAATAGTTGTCTCGATTCCCAGTATCTGACAGTGGACTTGATACATTCTCCAACCTTTCGTCGTTTCGCGACCATAACAGAGGCCACAACATCTTGGTCTTCATATATTCAAAGAAGCACAATAGTTGTGGCGGAGACTAGAGCTAGTTGGCTAACATTAGGCGTGTTTGATCATAGGCGTGGTACATGAAGCTAAGGCTTGATCATGAGAATTAGACGGGCCCTTTAGCTTCAAGTTAGTCTCTCATCCAGCTTGAGAATCCTGATTTTTATAGGTCTTCTCAGCTAGGCGGGAGTATGCGTGTTATCAAAGGCTTGGGTCAGTGTGGGAAATAACTCTTCGAGAGGTAAAGATAGGGTGGCAGGGCTCAAGTCAAATACCTGGACCAGGAATGTATGAGGCAGATCATACAGGGCAAGATGGGGCTCTGATAAGACCAATAGTAAGAGGATTGCGGAGTAAGGGGGTGAGAAAGTTAGTGTCGGGTTTTGAGAGTCATCATGAAGTTCGCTAAAAAAGTCAAACCATACCACATTTAAATAAGCAACAAAGAAATTATGTTATTTAAGGGGTGATACGAGGATATAGGATTGGTGAATAGCCCAGGGTAGAAGGAGAGATACCACAATTGTTGAGCTGACAACTAGTCAAAGGATCGGCTTCATTTGTCTCTTTGACCACTGAAGATGGCGACTATGATGCCGGCGAAACATCTGAAAATGTACCACGTCCATGGTCCGACTCTGGAAATTACCATGCATACCATGGACTCCTGACTATGCGTGTTCCTCTAGGTCGTCCTACCAATATGACCAAGTTGCGAAAGCGAGGTCAAGCAGCTTTTATGCAACGGAAGGAGACTGCGACCATACAAAAGGCTACAACATCTTCGGGTAAAATAATTATTTTTTTCGTTTTGTGAACAGGTACAAAACTCCGCAAAAGTGTTAGATCCCACTTTATACTTTTTTAAATCAAATAAGTATTTAAAAATGCGGCAAAATCACAAAAGTGAATTGCATTCAGTCACCCTTTATATCCACGCGAAAATGGACATTACTTATGCCTGCTTCATCTCAGACCAAATTAGGACTGTGAACACGTATCATGGTAACTATGCCTGCCGGCACTTCCTTAACAAAATCAGAATTGCAACCATAATTCCTCTGCAGCTTATTGATTGAAGAGTGAAGTCGTGTACATTTGCTTCCCATTTTGGTAGGATATAAAGTTTCCGCTTATTACTAATTTTATCAAAGATAGACCTAATCTATACAAGGAATTAAAGACAACCTCATTTGGTTTGCAGAATTTAGTTGAATATAGCAAGATCATTTGGGGACATAAATATAGTGGAATATCTAAAAGAATGCAAATATCAGTTAACATTAACAACGCCACAGGTAACCCTTTTACCTGCCCCAGCCAAGGTACAATAAATGCCGGGCCATATACTGGGTCAAACGCAAACATTCTTAACACTCGCAGTATTTTGGATTCCACGAAGCTCTGCGATGCTTCCTCCGACTGAGAGACCTGCAGTTACTTATACGTAAATGATGTATAATAATTATTATGCATTCCCATAGGCTTTCATATATGCTCCCATGGACAAGTATTATGAAAAACTACGGACATAAGTTACAATTTTGGTAGAACATATGGGCAATAGATATTCAGAGCCACCTGAACCTAATTGCACTTTGCTCTTCTATTATGTGATAGGATCATTCTTCTAGGGCAGTTCCGTCTACGTGATACTTCTCCTTCATCACCCTACTCTCGCATACTTGAATGGTGCGAAAATTGTTTGTGCGAACAACCATTCATTATAAAATCTCATTGTCTAACCGCAAATTGCCTACCACAACCATGCCCCCCATAGAGTCATATCTGCACACATTTATTGTCCATTCCGTAGACCCGAGGCCGCCTAAAACTCCAACAACGTCCATCAAGGACTGTGGGGCATAAGCAAAAATTGGGCTGGCAGCGTAATCAATGTTTGTTGTGCAAGCAACTCTTTTAACATGCACCTGTATACATAATTTATCTCTCACTTTCCATCAATATTCTTGAAATTCCTCGTAATTATGTACAGCTTCGTGTATAAATATGTGCGTGAGTATTTGTATCTCTCAAGTGATAAATATCCGACATGGCGTGGAGTTTTCTTAAACTTATGAGGCCCGCCTCCTAGTGGTAGCATAACGCGGTTTTTCACTAAAAGTCGCTGCTTTGCATGTTTAAGAGATTACATCTAATAAGACTGGCAAGCAGCTAGGGAAGGCAAAGTATGCTTAATTGGCAGCACAATCCTTCATGAGTTATAAACACATATTTATATAAAGTTGTACAGATGCGCACCATCGCAGAGGCAACAGTCTATGAATTCTCGTTCTGCTGAATAGTCCAATATTTTTGTATGAGCGAATTTACTTATCTGACCCAATTATTGATGCATCCATATCTTTGCACACTCCTGCATCTCCCTTTCGACCTGGCTACCTCAAACTCGACTGGCCGACAAGGAGCCTAATTATGCTTCATGCGTAGATATGAAAAAAAGGATTAACTTAGGTCTATGTTTGCTGTTCGGATGGTTTAGCATGAAGCATGGACCACCATACCTGAACTTCAGTCCCAATATTCTCTTGCTTGTCCGCGTTTTGCCCGCCATGCAGCCAAACTCTCTCTGCCCAAAGCGAATGCGCTTGAAGACATCAGTCCCCCTCATCCCGCTTTCAGGTAATCCCCAAGACATTTAGCAAATTAATATAAATCGGACTATCTATAAACCCATATTTTCACACCAAATTATTGACTATCGTCCCCGGCTTAAGTCGCCCTCGAACTTGTTACTTCTCATGGCACTCCAGGCCAGCAAAAGGCAAGCATCCCGTCGGCGAGCCCTATTCGGAATGTGTCCGTATGGGGCTGCACCGACTGAGACCTCGATGCAGACCCGAGTATCCTGCCATCTGGCCGTCTGCAGACAATTAGTTCAGCATCGGACTCGAAAGTTCTATTGCATTTTGAGTAACAGTAAGATTGGTTTTAACTTTTGGAGGAGCCGTTGAAGATTCATGCCCTTTGCTAGCCACT